TACCTACCTACTTACCTATCTTATATCTATCTAAGCTAACTCTATCAAAAGTAGGCAATGGCAAATTATGCCCATACTGTTGCGACAATCACTGCATCATTTATCAACAGGAGTTGAGCTTGACTTTACCATTGTCTTTTCTTTTCTTTCAGATGGAAGGGAAATACAGAAAGCACAAATACTACCAAGCATGAGGCCAGTTAGCCTTATAAGGCACCCCTTTTGCCATGTTTTCCTAAAACATCCTGTTTTGCTAATGGTAATGGCCTCATGTCTCCCGTTTCTTCTCGCTCTGCGTTCTTCCCTTCCTTCTGTTTATCACCATACCTGGCTGTGTCCATCCATTTATACCCCAGGCTGCTGCTCTATCAGCTTATCAGTATAATGCTGTCATTAGCACAAAGCCAGATCAAGATGCATCTTTGTTTGGGGCTGGCAGACCACATAAGGGAAGCTGGAGAGTTGCTAGGATACTGAGCTGCAAAGACTTCTGGGGGACCCAGCAGACTCCCTTTGTTTGGGATGAGGGGTCCGCCGGGAATCATGGACTTCGGAACCTTATAAAAACTGGAATACACCAAGGGTTTTCTTTTGGTGCATTGTTTCTGTCCCCTCCACCGAAGGGCTGTGGGCTTTGTGGTTGTTCTTTTAAAGCTTTGCCCTTTGTTTACCCAGGGCAAGGCTAATTCAAAGAGGGAAGAAGAGAGTGGCTGGGCTGGGCTTTTACTCCTTGCTCCCTCCACCCCTGGGTGCTATGTCTAAACAATGCAAGGCCGGGAGAATAAGGGCTTTGGAGCACACGCGGACTCCCCGAGGGGTTTAGCTTGCAATGGGCATCAGCTTGGGGGATTTGAGCGGGAGCCTCTGTGCCGGGTGGTGGTGAGCCTTGCCTACGATTCGAGAAGGGCCAGTTGTGTGTATGGATATTCGGGACAATACGGAACAGCAATCCTTTCCACCCCCCGCCCCCCCGGTTGTCTCCTCTCTCTCCCCCTCTAGCTTGCTTAATCCCGTCGGTGGCTTCCCGCGAAGCGACGCCGCGTTGACGGGCATGCAAAGGAACTTCACTCCCCCCGCCCCCCCCCCCCCCCCCCCCAAAAGCACTCCCCCCCCCCCCCCCCCCCCCCCCGCCTTTTCAAACTTCTTACCGTTGCCCGAGGCTGTCCCGGCGCAGGAGGGAAAGAGATTCGCGGCTACCGGCGGTTCTCTTTTCATCTTGCGTTAACCGGCGCTCCCGACGTCCCGGAGAGCAGACGCTGCTTTGTGTTTCGTCCCTCCCTTCCACCGACTCCCCCTCCCCCTTCCCGTGCTCCTCCATCACGGGGAACGTCCTCCGCCTAGCCCTCGGGGGAGGGGAGCGGCGGGGGACGTTTCCTTCCCCTCCTCCACCAAGCCGGGGGTGGGCTGCTGCAAGACAGCAGGCCCCAGCAATCTCTCCCCACCCACCCCCGCCACCCCCTCTCCCTGCTTTGCCTCGGTAGTTCCCCTACCTGCACGACCCAGGCTCGAACCCGGAGCGCCAGAGCCCGCCTGGCTCGGCCCGGTGCTGAGGGACAGCTCCGCGTGACGTCACGGCGCAGGGTGGTTTTTTTTTTTCTCTCTCTCTCTCTCTCCCTCTCTTTCTCTCCCCCCCCCGCCCCCTTCCTTTCCGCTCCCGTCTGCTTCTCTTCGCGCGCCCTCGCGAGACCCGGCGAGGAAAGGTTGGCTCGGGCCAGGCACGTTGGTCGCCGTTTCCCTTTGCTTGCCTTCTTCTGTTTGAGGTCGTCGCCCGCCCCCAAGTCTCATCCTCCCCACCCCCACCCCTCTTATCGGCTGGAGCGCGCGGCGGGGGGGGGGAGGGAGCGAAGATGTCACACTCGCCCTTCGAGTTCCCCCACAGGATCCCTCCCGTCGCCCCTCTCTGTATGGGAGAGAGAGGTCAGCTCCCCTTTCGCTGCTTTCGCGTCCCGGCTATTTCCGGTTGGAAGTCTCTTTGTTTAAGGCATACCCCGGTACCTCGCCTGCTTCCAGAGCTCTAGGTTGGCTGGTCCGTGGGGCTTCCTCGTTGTAACTGACTTGCACTGGCAGCCGCCGGTTGGACCTTCTATTTGTAACCCTCTTATTTGCCACCCGTTGTATTTGCAGAGAAGTCCTAGTGTGCCTGCTGCGCTAGAGAAAAATGGAACCAAAGCGTCGTGTGGCGCCCCGTACCTTATTTTGGGTTAAATCTTGCTCTGCGATCCTTTCCATCAGATTGAATTAGAAACAGGTCGTTCCCTCCCTTGTTCCAATTTGCTAGCATTATCTATTTCTGCTGGGATTGTTCAGTGTTGGGTTTAAGCAATTGGCAATTAGCTTAATCCTGTAGAATCCTTATAGTTTATCAACATATTTCAAATCTTTTACAGATGAATTGCTTTTATCCAAAGTAGAAAAGCCCCTTTCAATTCAGTTTTACTCGTCTGTGCCATTGTCTTTGAAACTACCATCAAATATTATGACACTAAAACAAGAAATATGAATTTGTTGTTTGGTTACAAAGTTGTGTCCCAACTCTTACAACCCCACGGGCCATAGCCTGTCCTCCACTGTCTCCTGGAGTTTGCCCAAATTCATGTTCATTGGATCAATTATACTATTTAACCATCTTATCCTCTGCTGCACCCTTCTTTTGCACTCAACTTTTCCCAACATCATGGTCGTTTCCCAAAAGTCGTCTCTTCTCATTTGGTTGCCAACTTAGTTGAGCTTCAAGAAAGATCCTACCACGTAACATTTACAGATGTTCCTTTGGGTTATACACTGCTCAAAAAAATAAAGGGAACACAAAAATAAGACATCCTAGATCTGAATGAATGAAATATTCTTATTAAATACTTTGTTCATTACATAGTTGAATGTGCTGACAACAAAATCACACAAAAATTATCAATGGAAATCAAATTTAGCAACCCATGGAGATCTGGATTTGGAGACACTCAAAATTAAAGTGGAGAAAAACACTACAGGCTGATCCAACTTTGATATAATGTCCTTAAAACAAGTCAAAATGAGGCTCAGTAGTGTGTGTGGCCTCCACATGCCTGTATGACCTCCCTACAACGCCTGGGCATGCTCCTGATGAGGTGACGGATGGTCTCCTGAGGGATCTCCTCCCACACCTGGACTAAAGCATCCCCCAACTCCTGGACAGTCTGTGGTGCAACGTGGCGTTGGTGGATGGAGCGAGACATGATGTCCCAGATGTGCTCAGTTGTATTCAGGTCTGGGAAACAGGTGGGCCAGTCCATAGCATCAATGCCTTCATCTTGCAGGAACTGCTGACACATTCCAGCCACATGAGGTCCACACCAGTATATGGTCTCACAAGGGGTCTGAGGATCTCATCTCGGTACCTAATGACAGTCAGGCTACCTCTGGCGAGCACATGGAGGGCTGTGCGGCCCCCTAAAACACTGCCAAACTGGTCATGCTGGAGGACGTTGCAGGCAGCAGAACGTTCTCCACGGCATCTCCATAACGTCACGTCTGTCCCACACCATTACTGACCCACTGCCAAACTGGTCATGCTGGAGGACGTTGCAGGCAGCAGAACGTTCTCCACAGCATCTCCAGAACGTCACGTCTGTCCCACGTGCTCAGTGTGAACCTACTTTCATCTGTGAAGAGCATAGGGCGCCAGTAGTGAATTTGCCAATCTTGGTGTTCTCTGGCAAATGCCAAACATCCTGCACAGTGTTGGGCTGTAAGCACAACCCCCACATGTGGACATTGGGCCCTCATACCACCCTCATGGAGCCTGTTTCTGACCATTTGAGCAGCCACATGCACATTTGTGGCCCACAGGAGGTTATTTTGCAGGGCTCTGGCAGTGCTGCTCCTGTCCCTCCTTGCACAAAGGCAGAGGTAGCGGTCCTGATGCTGGGTTGTTGCCCTCCTACGGCCTCCTTCACATCTCCTGATGTACTGGCTTGTCTCCTGGTAGCGCCTCCATGCTCTGGACATTACGCTGACAGACACAGAAAACCTTCTTGCCACAGCTTGCATTGATGTGCCATCCTGGATGAGCTGCACTACCTGAGCCACTTGTGTGGGTTGTAGACTCCGCCTCATGCTACCACTAGACGGAAAGCACCACCAGCATTCAAAAGTGACCAAACCATCAGCCAGAAAGCATAGGAACTTGAGAAGTGGTCTGGGGTCACCACCTGCAGAACCACTCCTTTATTGGGGATGTCTTGCTAACTGCCTATGCTTTCCATCTGTTTGTTGTCTATTCCATTTGCACAACAGCATGTGAAATTGATTGTCAATCAGTGTTGCTACCTAAGTGGGCAGTTTGATATCACAGAAGTGTGATTGACTTGGAGTTACATTGTGTTGTTTAAGTGTTCCCTTTATTTTTTTGAGCAGTGTATATGATGTTATATATGAGGCTTGAAGAGTAGTATTTGTATAGATCCCAACATTTTAACATCAAGGCTCCTTAAAACAGTTGGGCATAAAACTATAACAAGAGAAGTATAATTAATGTATTCCTGAACTCTGGAATGGTGCAGAATCTGGTACAGTATCTTAACATTTTCTAGCACAGCAATGGCAAAAGTGCGCTATTGTTTAAACTAGCCTGGATATATTGGGGTTTTTAAACCCATAATAGGCTATGGAATGGTTAGTTCCACAAGAAATTGCAAGGCATTTGAATCAGTTTGTTTGGTTATGATAAGAAAGGGAAAAAATAACAATTCTATGTGCTAGTTTTTTACTAGGCATTTCATTCTAAAAGAGGACATATGACATGGACATATGCAGGAACCTCTCCTATTTCCATTTGGTAGACTTTACAGAAATTGCTTCTTCTATATAGCCATTTGACTGGTTCTTTGAAGTTGTCCCTTTACATATCGACATAAAAACACAATTGCAAAATACCAACTTTGTAGCATTCAGATTGCAAAAAATATGTGAGTTGGAAAACAAAGCCAAATATCCTTCCACACACACACATCCAGAGGTTAGTCACTTTACTAGTTGAGACATGTCACCAAATCTGCTGTCTGAATCCCACTTGCCATCTGCTGAGTCTCAGCATCATGAAGAGGATGATGCGTAGGAATGATGAGCTGTTGCTGTTCTTGCTGCCTTCTCCCCTCCCACATTTGGTATTCAGTAGCTCAATTTAGATTCTCCTCAGCTGTACTAGATGATTAATTCTACCCTGTGGAATGGAAAGCCTTTCTTTGTCTTAGTGCTACACTCTAGCAAAATTTGAGTACGTATAAAATCTTCCCCTAAAACGTAAACAATTGTACAAAGATACTATGACCCCCCTCTACCAGCACTCAAGATTGTATGTGTCCCCTATTTGGGGGCACATCAGATGATTTAAATTGTTCAGCTCTGAGTATGACATCTCTTATGCCAGCAGTTTCATCTATTAGGCTATCAGTTAAAAGTCTGTATTCCACATCTCAGTCATCCAGGTCATGGTTGTCCCAAAGATGCTTTTTCAGGAGGCAACTGGACTTTCTTGTTTTTTCTTTTGAAGATGTTTCCCTTCTCATCCAAGAAGCTTCTTTAGCTCTGACAGGATAGTGGGGAATGGAAGGATTTATATTCCTTGCAGACAACTGGCAATCTGCATCCTTTTAGCCATTTAGCCATAAGTCTGAAGCACTTGGAGGTTTATCTGTGTCCTCAGGGTCACCTGAGTAGTGGTCCTGGTTCCTGTAGTCTGCAATTTTTCCTAGGCTATCAGTTTGTTAGGATGGGGTAGAAAATTGACATACTGTACAGATAGTCTTGACTAACATTTAGGAACCATCAAAATTATAACACTGAAAAAGTGACTTAGGACCAATCCTTCCACTTAAAACCACCACAACACCTCCATGGTCAAAATTTGGATGCTTGGCAACTGGTATATGTTTACAACAGTTGCAGCATCCCAGGGTTATGTGACGGCTTTCTCAGACAGTGTCTCACAAGCAAAGTCAACAGGGGAAGTGAGATTTGCCTAACTACCACGTGATTCACTTAACAATTATAGTAATTTGCTTAAGAACCATGGCAAAAAACATCATGAAATTGGGCATTATTCATTTAAGACTGCCTTGCTTAGTAACAGAAATTCTGATTCCCAATTGTGGTTATAAATTGAGGATTACTTGTATTCCTGTTTTAGAACCGAAAGAACACCGTGCCGACTTTTCACTCAAATCAGGATATATTCAAAGTTTTTATTAGTTTTACAGGATTCAATACAACAACATGACTTAACACATGCTACCGTTTTAAAAATGAAATAAAAGTTTTATATTGTTACACATAGTTCAGTGAAATATTATGTTTAAAAGACTTGTAAAGAAAGCTTTCTGAAGTTTTCAGCCTCTGTGTTCTTGCTCAACTAATTAAGGATCTATAATTTTTGTTTTGAAGATGTTTTTAGTTTCTAAATAGCTCTTTGAGATGGACTTGAATATAATATTGGATGATTCAACAAGGATTCAACAAAACATAAAATGTAATGTAGAGTGCTCACAGAACTACCAGTATATTAAAAAAAATCATTTTTATCACTTTTGAATGTGGTATGAAAAGCTAGTGGCTTGAGCTCTCAAATAACACTACAAACATGGTGCAGGAAAAAAAACCCAAGAGATTATTGCACTTTAAAGATTGGTTGTCAATATTAAAGATTTGACTATAATAATGTTTTGTTGTGTTCGCTACAACAGAATAACAGCCATTCTTCTGGGAAATGATGTGAAAGCTTCATGGACTGTTTGTGCCCACACTCAGAAAATTGTAAAGGAAACATATTGATTTGTCCTTTCCTGATTCTCATCCCATTTTAAATTGAGACTGGATACATAATAAAAGTTCAAAACTGGATGATTTCTGTAGATGGCAGAATATATATATTTGTGATATTTGAGTACTAGAATGAAGATATACGTACATACCAGTACATGAGTATACACTTGTTTTGAACGTCCTGACCATGTGGAAATCTGAATTTAAGAAAAACTACGTAGGGAAATAAATAAAAAAAACCTCAGGTGAAGGCAATGGGAAGAAATCACATCTTTACTTTATGCTGCTATATAAATGTATAATACATTTTACATTTCCCCCCAGTATAACCTCAGTTCTAAGGAAACTACTATTTCATTAGTTCTGCTTGTGATTATAATTTAGATAATTATGAGAGAAAGAGGAAAAATTTAAAATTCAGGTAGTTTCCTGATTTGCTAGATTTCTGCATGGAAACTTATTACGTTGCCTCTACTACACACCCACCCACCCCTTTCAAAAGCGCTCCCCTACTAGTATCGGTTGCAAACAGTGCACGCCCTTCATACCAGAAGTCTCGCGTGTTTCAATCCCACCCATGTCACCTCGATTCACGGTCGCTACCAATCCAGATTGGAAAACGCATTGCACTCCAGAGGTGGCAAGCCCGGCCTGGGGCAGCGAGCCGGCCTTAGGCACCCAATTAAAACCGGCACGCGTTGCAACAAACGAAGCGGGACCTTTAGATCCCACCGCCCCCTTTACGACCCCATTCTCTCCCGAATTCAACGGGGCTCAGGAACTGAAAAGGGCGGGGCTCCGCCGACCACGCATTTTCGGCCCGGGGATTGGCTTGAGGAGGGAAAGGGGGCGCGGCCGGACGAATGACGGTTGACGGAGAGGGCGGGACTATCCAGGGTGACACGTCGGACGGCGGCGCCAGCGCCAGCGGCGACTCTTCCAAGAGGAGCGGGAGTGACATTTCCGCGGTGCTACTCCCGTTCAGCGAGAGGAGGCGAAGGACTGATTTCCTACCCCCCCCCCCCCGCGCGCGAAATTCTTCTCTAGGGCCGGCATGGAACGGCTGGACCAATAGGCGCTGCTCCTTCAAGGTTCCGGAATTGGGCCGGGCCCACCTCCTCCGTTACTTAGCTGCAGCCGCCCCTCCCTCTGTGCAGGACCCCACGCCGGTCCCTCCCCACCTCCGTCTCGTGGGAATGGTCCCCGGCTGCCCCGATCCCCACCAGTGCTGTGTTGCGGGTTAAAGAGGGATCTCCCTGGTTCTCCAACCCAGGACCCCCCCCCCCCCCCAAAAAAAAACCCCCTTCGGCTCTTGCTGCCCTCTCCCCCTTTTGTCCCTTTTAACTTGGTTTCCCCCCCTCCTCCCCAATCTCCGGGTCTCGTCCGGATCTTGCCCCCGCCGGTGCCATGCGCTTCTCTTCGCTTCTGTCGCTCCTGCGTCCCGTGGGGCCTGTGGTGGTCGGGGTGTCTCTTGGTTTCACGCTCAGCCTGCTCAGTGTGACCTGGGTGGAGGAGCCGTGTGGGCCCGGCCATGGCAGCTTCCGCGAAGGGGGCCTGGAGCAGCATCAGCATCAAGGAGGGCAGGGTAACGCCGCCCGCAAACCCAATTCCGTCTCCGGGGGGCTAGGCACGGAGCCCGAGCAGAGCTGGGAGCCCCGCGTTCTGCCCTACAAGCCTCTGAACCCAGGGAAGGCGACCAAGAAAACCATCAGGTACCTAACGGGGAAGGGGGACTGGAGATGTTGGGGGTGGGGGGGAGTGGGTCTAGAACCCAAAGGGGATCCGGCTGCCTTCTTGGTGTAACCTTGACTTGCCGTTTATTTGTGTTGGGCATCAAGTGCAGGGAGCCTTGGGAACAACCTGTGGCCTTTTTTGTGGACCAGCAACTGGTTTAGGCCTGTAGGTGGGTCTGCTTAGTTCTTGGCCTACCAGCATCAATATTTAAGCGACAGGACTGCTTTCCTATGACAGCAGTCTTCGGAACTACGTTGGAATTGCCCCACAAAGTATGTAGTTAGGAAATGAAGGTTTGAGGGCCAGTTTAGAGTCCCACTAAAACCACGTTGCTTAGGGGTTTAATCTCCTGATTTTAATACATTGGAAACTACTTTGGAAAAATCTTAGATTTGAAGTGCGACAGACTTAAGTTTTAAAATAAATGTAGGTAGTCCTTGACTTACATCAGCTTCTTTAGTGACCATTTGAAGTTACAACGGCACTGAAAAAAGCAACTTATATGACCATTTTTCACACTGACTGTTGCAAACATCCCCGTGGTCGTGTGATTTACATTCGGATGCTTGACAACTAACTCACATTTATGATGGTTGCAATGGTCCCCTTTTGTGACCTTCTGAAAAGCAAAATCAGTCAGGGAAACTAGATTCACTTAACCATGTTACTAATTTAAGGACTGCAGTGATTCATTTAACAAATGTGAGAAAAGTAAAATGAGGCAAAGCTCACTTAACAAATTTCTCACTTAGCGACAGAAATTTTGGGCTCAAGTGTGGTCATCAGTTGAGGACTACCTGCTCCATTTGGAAGTGACTACCACTTACAAGCTTGAATAATCAAGCTTCATATGATTTGCAAACATAGGAGAAACAAAAAAAAAATGCAGTTATCAACTTGGAAATAAAAGCCTAACCTTTTGAGGGTTTTTTGTGTCCACAAAACCAGAATTCCAGAGTCAGAAATGATATAGACATGGTTTACAAATCACAGGTAACTTACTGGCTGCATTATTCATGGACAAAATCAGTATGCCCTGATGCAAACCTTAGTATGATATGAAACTGGAAATGCTGATTCTTGTCCAGCACAAAACAGAGAATTATAGAACTAGACGGGGCCTTGAAGTCTTGTAGTATGATTCCCTATAAGATCTGCCTATATAGAACATAATTGTATTTGTGTTTCCCAGTCTCATGGCCCATAGCAGACTGCTTTATTAGATAACATAAGCCCATTTAGAAAATGCAGTATTTTGTTCTTATTTAGAGTATTATGCATGGTTTTTTTTTGCCAAGCAGGACCTTCAGAACAATGTACAATCACATTTTTAAGAAAATAAAAATAAAGAGAAAAACAAAATATTTGTTAAAGGTGAACCATAAACTCTCAGAATTTATAAATGTCCTACCCCAAAAAATCCCCTAAAACCCAGTACTACTTAGAGGCAACCTCTCTAGAAGAGAGGGTTTTTTAAACAACTGAGATACTGCTAGAGAAAAGGTTCCATTTCATAGATCTGCTGACTGGATTCCCCTTGATAATGGGATATGTCATTAAGCCTCAGTGTAAAACTTTAAATTAGGCAAAAGTTAATATGACAGGAAACTATAGACTCAACATGGTTAGAGATTTATAAGTCAAAATCAGTAAACAGTGCAGCAAATCAAACTGTGGCCAATAGTAGACATATAACCAGCATGACTAATAATCATTGATAATCTTTTCCTCCGTAAATTTGGCTGAGACTTTTTAAAAGACTTTAGTCATTTTCCATCCTGGATTAGTGAATGTCATAGCTAAACTCACCTCTTGGAGGATTGGTGTGCTTATGATGGTAATTTAGCTGCAGCTTCCTATATCACTGTGATACAGTTGAAGGAAACTCCTAGTTTTAAAAGGCTTAGAAGGATTTATGCCTTGTTTTTTAAATGATATCCAAGATGGGAGGAAAAGTGGGGTGAGGGCAGCATGATACTGCAGGGCTGTTATTCATGGGTTTTGTTTTTGTTTTTGCAGAGTTGTTCTCTGGTAGTGGGACTTGAGCTTGATGGATCTCTGTACCTGATCTCCCACAGGAAGGCTTTGGGCTGCACTCTCACTGTTCAGGAAGTCCTTCTGTGCAAATAGTTTCCTTTAGAAAGAGGTGGGCTAGAATAAGAAAGTGCAGATGGCAGTTGCTCCCACAAACTAAGTAATGTGGCTGTGGCTTATTCTGAGAAGGCTGGAGGAGAGGGCTGAGTCACACAACTGTTTGGGTTGTTTCAAAATATTTTCAGACAGTGGTGTGTGTTTTTTTTGTAAGATTAAGGCAGTAGACCAGGAAATTCTGTTAGATTTCTGGGGGATCTGCAGGGGATCAGGACAAGTTGCTGATTCCTTGTTTCCTTTAGCAGCAATGAAGTGCCCCCTAGTTCTAAATTATGTTGCAGAAAAGTGCAAAAAGGTAAAAAGCCATCCAAAGTAGTCTCACCACCTCTTTGATTGGGAAAAGGGCTGAACCCTTTAAATACTGATACCCAGAACAAATACTGAGGTGAAGGTTATCTGTCTCCTCAACCTGCTTTACTGTAGTTGGTTGATTTTGTGTGGTTATTAAAAATGAAGCGGATTTAAGCCTGAAGTCTGCCCATCTTTGGAACAATGAATGTAGAAAACCATATATCAAGGCTTTACACATTTTGAAAATTGTGCAGAAGAAGTGCTTCAGGCTCTATTAAGGCGTGCAAGCTCCCACCCCGGCTTTAAAATCACCTTAAATATGTGCTGCTTTAACTATTCCATTGATTAGAACAACCACATCTTTTTTGCAGGATCATGCAAAAGTTTGATCTGCTTTTACATATAACTAAGAAGTGCTCTGCTTGTACATGTAGTCCTCAACTTGTGACTGGATGCTTAGCAATCATTCAGAGTTACAATGATCTCTCTGGGGACACCCAGTTCTGAAGTTCTGATGGCTGCCTCCCCCACCCACCCACCCCTGTAAGTGCATTTTGTGTGCATGGCAACTGGCCCACATTTACAGCAGTGTGCTATAGTCACACATAGTCACAAAGCTTTTGCCCCAAACTGGCATTTACTTCAATTTTTGGCAAAAACCACCTCATAACAAACAATTTGTTCACTTAATGATAGTGATGTTCACTTAATACCTGCTGCAGAAAAAGTTGTAAATATTGGGTCGGTTGCGTGGGTGACCCATTTTATGACCATCAAGACTTATGACCATAATGGGCAGGCTCTGTTACAGTGGTGAGAACTACATATTTATATCAATTTATCTAAAAAGCTCTAATAAACAACTCTATTTTATTTTCAAGCAACTATTACAGTATCTAGTTATTTCACTAGATACTGTTGATACCTTGCATTTTACAGATCAGTTGCTCTTACTTTTAGTTCATCCATATTGCAGATAGGAAGAACTGACATTAGGAAACAGTGGCTGGCTAAATCTAGCTAGTGAGTTCATAACAAGCAAATAAACAAATGAAGTGCTTTATGACTTGTATTTAGGTCTCTTAAGTATTATACAATTTATTTAATTCAGACATATTCTTTCATGATAGCTCTTCTCTTGCAGGGACTCTGCATTCCTTTTTTTTGCATTTTAACTCTTTTAAAAAAATTGATAATAACTTTATTATATTTTAAATAAGAAAAATAACTGACAGAAACTAATAATTAAGATAGAAAAATGAGTAGGAATAAAAAAAAACACAATCAAAAGTGCAGAGAAAAACAAGAAAGAAAAAGAAATATTTGGAAATGGCTTCCGACTTTCCTTCATAACAGATAAAAATACAATTTCATATTAAGCTCTTTACAACATAATTTTCATTTTTTTTTATTACCTACTGTTTTTTTTCTAATCACCAAATCCATATGTCTGCTATCTTAAATACTCTGAGGGAAAAAGATGGGATAAGAATCATTTCATCTCTCAAAAGGAATACTTTGTACTGAGAAAATGCATTTTTCCTTATGCCACTTCTGTTGCTCCAGTTCCTTCCCCCTTCCACACAGCAAAGTG